TCGCCACAGTGGAATAAATTACCACATTTTCTGACATAATGTTTTGTGCAGTGGATGCCCTTCCAAGCAGCAACCCATTACTGGGAAACACCCATACAAACATTCACAAACACACACACACACACTCACTATATACAGCAATTCACCTATCGAAAATGGACCAGAAATGCTAGGACTCAAACCAGTTGACCTTATTGCTGTGAAGTGACAGTGCTAACCACTCAGCCACCGTTCTGCCTAAAGCAAATTTTCTTTGTTTAAACTATAGCTGTGTTTTTTTATGAAGATCAAATGTATGTAACATTGCTCTAGCAACAATAAAAAAAGTTATATATCAAAAATAAAAGTTTTAAAAGCAGCTACCAAATATAAATGCAAATAAAACACTGTTAGGGGCTAGTTAAACAAGAGACAAATGAATATATACAATTGAAGTCTGATTGGGGGTATATTTGCTTTGTTGATACTTTATATGCATTTTCTTGATCTTGAATAAAGTAATAATAATAATTATACTTGACATATTTATAGCGCTTTTTTTGGGTACTCGAAGAGCATTACACATTTTGGGGTTATCTCCTCATCCACAAGCAGCACATGCATAAAAAATAAAAGTAGAAATAAAAAAAATCTTTTAAAATATAGTTGTTGAAATGAAGTAATTATTTAAATACTAAATTATCAAAGTAAAACCTAGTTTATTTATGTCAACTCAAAATCAGAGTTAGATTGAAACATTATCAATGGGTAAAATAATGATGAAATAAACTGATTTTTATACTTGTCACAATGGTAAGCTAGTAATTTCAGTACCCGATATGAGGCAATATGGTTATGAGGCCACAACTATATATAAGAGCAATATCACACTTGTAGCAGTGCGATATGCTTGTATATCAGCACTGGTGGGGTGGGAGGCGTGCCTTAGTGCCCCACCAGTGATGATATACAGCCATATTGCACTGCTACGAGTGTGATATTGGGTTTAGACAACAGTTTAAGGACATAATTGTGTGTATAAAACAAACAAACAAACAAACACAGAGTCTCAAAAACCCTTTTGAAAGAGGAACTACTATCTTCAGCCATTCATTCACATCTGCAGCTGACGTCAAAACAGCAGAAACCGTTGTTACTTCACCAACATCACTTTAGAGCTTATATTTGAATGAATCTTTAGTGTACTGTCTAAAATGATGACAAAACAGGTGATTTTGCTCACATTCTAAGATTATAAGGCTGAACAGCATGAAATGTTGTCAGTCTACAGAGATTTCCCAGTATTTCTCTGTTGCAATCGGGAGATCACAATAATTAACCCCGAAAAACCCAAAGCAGCGCAAACACTACCAGATTACTGTTGTGTTTGCGATTAGGAAAAAACGCTAAACACATGCAGGCTTTTCTTCTTCTTTTTTTTTTTTTTTTTTTTTTACTTAACTAGTCTGCAGTAACAAAAACAGGAGATGCATTAGAAACAAACAGATAGCCAACCAAAAAGTAACTCAGGGCTATACAAAGAGTGGCCAACACAAAATACCTACATTCCTGATATGCGAGTGCCATCTCGCACTCAATAAACTTTAATTACTGTATAAATACAGCACTGCAACATATAAAAGAGAAAGGTCAACTTAGAATGTCACCAGTTTAATAATGATTTGATCAGCTGTAGTCATCGAAGAGATTTTTATGGTGTCTCTCGCCAGCTTGTGGATGGACAATGTCAAACGTCTTTGCTCTGCTCAATGACAGGCCAATGGCCGCCGATTCGCTGTCTCAGAAATTATAAATATTTTAAAATAGGCACTGTCCTTTTAAATAAACGGCATATTTGCACTCTAAACAACTACATTCTCGACTAAAAAAGCCTCAAAAGTACAATATGTTGTCTAACAGCTGCAATATTTGTCAAACTGTAGTGTCCTTTGCTTGTCGCCGTATGTGGGCGAAGTAATACACAAGGGTGAAGGGTTAGGAGGCTGGATGAGTGCTGTTATTTGCAGAATATTGCACGGCTATCAGCCAATTAGATTCAAGAACCAGACAGAATTTAATTGTTAAATTTTTTTAATCATGAATTAAATGATTAATAATTATAAATTATTATCATAAGTTTTCACTATTTTTGCCAATTCACAGAAATAAAATTATGCTAGAAGGTCTGACGACCGGTTCTTATAATGCAGTCTGGCTAAAAATGTTTTGCACACAAGCTGTTTTTTGGCCAGATATTCCCTTCATATATGAAATAATACATTTTTCCTTTGCGTCTTTTAAATATGGATTTAGTTTCATCCAATTTTTTTTTATATGACCTTCATATTACAACTTTTTGGACGTTAAAATGCCTGTAGCTGAAGAAAACCCCCAATATGTGTTACTCAACTCATAAGGGTAGGGTTTTCTGAGAAGCACCCGCGATAATGATTACACATTTGAATAAAGTACCCGTTGTTCTCTTTCTCTACTGGATTAAGACATTTGTGTTTAACTTCTAGGGGACAGAAATACACTTTGTGAGCAAATACAGTCTCGTCATGTCCCACGGCTCGCTTCAAAGTTGAAAGCGGTCGAAGCGCTGGTGTGTCAGCAGATGCAAACCTCATGCATTATGCAGATCTCCTTTTCCATACTCAGAGGAGAAGCAGCACTTCCAGAGCGCTCAGATACAGCTCGTGTCATCATGCATTTGCTCCAACCATCACTTACACCCGTCTACAATAGGAGCGGGGCTGTGGTCTGTGCGAGACAACATTGGGAGCATTGTCTTGTCCTCTATGACAAAGACAGACTACTATAGTGCGTTACTCAGTGGACCCAGTAAAGACAGGACACGACCTTAACAATTTTCTTTGTCGGCTTAGTCCCTTAATTAATCCTGGGTCGCCACAGCAGAATGAATCGACAACTCATCCAACAAGTTTTTACACAGCGGATGCCCTTCCAGCCACAACCCATCACTGGGAAATATCTTAAAAATTTGTAGTAAAATATTATCATTGCAAAGATAAGAGAAATCAGTTATTAGAAATTAGTTATTAAAACTATTATATTTAGAAATGTGTTGAAAAAATCTAATATCTAGGAGGGCTTATTTTATCTGTATTTTTCACACTGCATTACTGGCTTAAACCAGATATATCTCAGCATCTAATGCAATTCATATATTAAAAGCATAATAAATAAAAATGCTATTTTAATTCTAAATCTTGATGTTGATTAAAAAGAATCAATTTACATTGCTTAACCATGATTTTTGCTTTACTATTATCTTAATAATAATAGTTCCTTACATTTATATAGGGCTTTTTTGTACCCTCAGAGTGCTTAACACATTTTTGGGAGGAATTTCCTCATCCAGTGTGCAGCATCCACCAGGATGATGTGACGGCAGGCATATTGCATCCGACCGCACACAACACACAGGAGAGGAGGAACAGTGATGAAGCCAATTATGATATGGGGATGGTTAGGAGGGCAGAGTGGGCTCACCGAGCAGTAAAGAATCCCCTTCACTATAATGGGGTGTTAGGACCGCTGTTGGCCTTACTAACACCACTTCCGGCAGCAACCTTTCCCATGTGGTCCCCCTTTTAGGTACTGACCAGACTCGGCCCTGCTTAGCTTCAGTGGGCAACCATGTGAAAATTTCAGAGGGCTAGCTGCCAGCTCACTTTCTTGTAGCTTTATAATAATAAGGTGCTCAATCAACTCCTAAAGTCCTAAATCATTAGGTCATGTGCACAAATGTGGGCACTGGACAATGAGGACATTGTTTATTGGGACACTTATGTGACATTTTATTGTACAACATTAAAACTGGAACTTAAAAGCAACAGCAGAACTGTGGTGGTGCAGTGGGTAGCGCTTTCGCCTCACAGCAAGAAGGTCGATGGTTCGAACCTCAGCTGGGTTAGTTGGCGTTTCTTTGTGGAGTTTGCATTTTGTTCCCACATTTGCATGAATTTCCTCTGGGTGCTCCGTTTTCCCCCACAGTCCAAAGACATGGGGATGGTTATCAGACCATTATCCAGTGCCCAAATTAGTCACATGGTCGCCCACTGAAGCTAAGCAGGGCTGATTCTGGTCAGTACCTGGATGGGAGACCACATGGGAAAGCTAGGTTGCTGCTGGAAGTGGTGTTAGTAAGGCCAGCAGGATTCCTAACGCCCCATTATAGTGAAGGGGACTCTTTACTGCTCAGTGAGCACACTCTGTCCATCTTGGCCTCCTAACATGTGGTACAGGCGAACTGGGTAAGCTAAATTGGCCGTGTGTATGGATGTTTCCCAGTGATGGGTTGCAGCTGGAAGGGCATCCGCTGCATAAAACATATGCTGGATAAGTTGGTAGTACATTCTTAGTGGTGACCCCAGATTTCTAGGGACTAAGCCGAAAAGAAAATGAATGAATAATAAATGTATAAGCTTTTTTTTTTTTTTGTTAAAAATTAATAATCCCCTTGTTTCGTGTACCAGCAACATTTCAGCTATTAATCAACTATAAATGTTTGTTAGATTGTTCTGTACTTGTCCAACTATGTTTGTTCATGGTTAAATGTAAAAACGGTTTCTTTATTTTAAACTTCTCTTGTTTGTTGTTTCACACTTTAAACGTCCGCTAAATTACTAGTGAGTATAGTCAAAGACTATAGAATACACAAGACATGTCACTGGTATAATTTTGAATGGGGAAAAGTGTAACTGTGAATATGGCAAATGAAACCCCGCCTTTTAGTACAGGAGCCAATCAGCAATCGCTATATACTGACGATATTCTGGGGGAGGGGCTCGGAATAGACGTGAGTTTCTGCTAATTTTGTGTCATTTGAACGTTTATAAACATTGACGCTTCCTGACTTTCACAGTGCATTGTGAGACTTTTTTTTTAGAGCGTGAATGTTTAAATACACAATTGATTAAGGCAGCTGAATTCGATGCAATAGTAGTCGTTTACACTAAGCTCAAACTGAACTGATCTTGTGTTTGTGTTAACAGGTACTCTATCTCCCCGTTCTCCAATCTGGAACGATGTGGCATCAAACACCCAAAGCCCTTGCCATTTATTGGGAACCTGATGATGTTCCGAAACGTAAGAATTTAGGTTATTTTATGAAGCACAAAAGTCATTCTCTCCTATATGCCATGTACACACACACACTTTTTGTACCGATGTTCTGAAGCAGGAATAATGTAATTTCTCTCCGCGAGGCTCACTTCATTAGATGTGTTCATTAAAGATGACTCACCGCTAATGACATCTAATGCCATCTGATTCCCAAACAGATTATCCTCTGTGCTTTTACCAGCACAGTATAAAAGACGGACGGGAGGCTGGGTGGCTTTAATATTGCAGAATTAATACTTTTTAATTCCTCATGTATTATCATTTTTCAAAGTTTAATCTTTGTCCTGAGCAATAATGTAGCAAATCAACAGCTGCAGTACTTCAGGAACCCCTCTTTGTTTTATGAGAAATAAAGGTCAAGATTTTGATGCTGTGGGGCAGTTCATGTCCAGTGAGAGTCTTTAGATGTATGAATGTGAAATGCCTGTATTCATCAGGCAACCAGTAAACGTTTTTATTTATTTATTTATTTATTTATTTATTGTTGTGCATGCATTTTGCCATATTATTTTTTTATAATATTTTTATAATTATTTTTAAGTAATTAAATATTTTATTAATTTATTTATTATTTACTTATTTATTACCAGTATTTAATAATTTATTTATTTGTTGTTGTACATGCATTTTTGTCATATTTGTATAATGTTTTTAATTATTTGTTTATTTATTTATTTATTGCTGTGCATACATTTTTGTCATATTATTTTTTTAATAATATTTTTATTTATTTGTTTGTTTGTTTATTTATTTATTTTGTTGTTGTGCGTGCATTTTTTGTCATATTATTTTTATAATGTTTTGTTTTTATTTATTTATTTATTGCCAATATTTATTTATTTATTGTTGTGCATGTATTGTTGTGCATGCATTATTTTTATAATGTTTTTATGTTTTTATTTATTTATTAACAATATTTATTTATTTATTGCTGTGTTTGGATTTTCTGTCTTATTATTTAAAAAAAAAAATCAATTTATTACATATGCACAGTTCCCAGCATTAATAAGTACTCAGCCTTACAAATCTGTACATTACATTAGTCAATACCAAAACTGAAACTATAACTAATATGTCAAAACACCTTAAGATCACGGTGCAAAAATGTGTACAACCCCAATCAATATGTTAGGGGAAAATAATAAAACAAAAAATGTTGTAGTTTGTATTATTTTTATAATACTTGAATCCAGATGTATTACTTTTCAAGTCTTAAAATTTTAGGTGAATCATTTAAATGAGCACAACTGATTAATAAAACTGTTATTATCATATATTGTGTATATTCACTGAGAAATGAATAAAACATTAGTTTACTCGTTTATGCTGTCCACTGACACTAAAACATATACCATGTTATATTCTTTAAATTGGTTTGTAGGATTATTTATGCATATATAATGTAATGTAATGTATAATTTGTAAACGTAAAACAAACAAGACCTATATGTTTTGGTCTCAATCAATCACACTGACCCAATCAACTATTAAATCAAACCTGTGACATATACAAGCTTTTTTCTTTTTTTTTTTCCAGAAAAAAATGGATGTTTTATTTTCATGGCATTCACCCTCTGGCAAACTAGAATATTTGACCTAAATCTTTGATTCCAGTTGCGATAGCCGAACAGTTGCTCAGATCAATATGTTACTGTCAGGCAGCGCTGGTCGACTGGACAGCCTGTCGTTCACAACACACGTTTCATTCGCTCTTTCTATCAGCCGCTTATGACAGGCCTCCCTCTTCCTCCTCTCCCTCTCCGTCTGCCTGTCGGTTTGCCTTTATCCAGGCATTTCATCTCAATACACATCATCCTCGTTGCGATTAAATGTTATTAGCTGGAAGTGAGAAAGGCGTAAATGAATATGCATGCGTGCATAATTACGGCATGTCTAGATGAAGCTCCCAGGTGAACCAAAGGTATGAGCTGTTTTTAGTGTGTGGGGTTTTTGTGCCCTTTGTCTGAGCGCATTAGTGTGTGTATGTGTGTGTGGATTTGTGCACACGTCAGCACACTGAGTCTCACAAACAGTGGTCTCCAGAGCATTGCTCCAGCAGAATCCTCTGACCCATTTCTACAGGCCAGCCTCTCAGCTAAATCCTGCAGGTCTGCATGTGTGTGTGTGTTTGTGCCAGTGTGTGCACATTTTATGTTACTGGCACCAGAGACAGACGCAATCCCCTCTCGAGAGGCAGGTGACTGCATATCAGCTTAGAAATTCGACGAGGCGCAAAAGAGGAAAGCCGAGATGTTGAAAGACAAAAAGGAGAAGGAAAGAAAGCCATAGGCTACGTTAGCAAATTCAGCGCTTGGGATTGATGACTTTGTTTCCTGATGGACAAATAGTGGAAAATGTGTAACCTTACACCCAGATGTTGCATAAAGTCATCCAGCGCTGTTTTTCAGTGCTGTAGTTTAGTGTGCATTAGTTCTGAAAACTTGGTTTTGGTTCTTTACGCATCAGATGCGTCAATCAATGCATTATGACTAGAAATTGCGAGACTAATTGATTTGTAACAGTTGTATCAGATTAACTCTAACTGTATGAATGTCATGATTATTAGCTGGAGTACCCACCAGACTCACTAGAGGGCACTTCAGCTAGATAAATACTCCACTAGTCACTCACCGAGACTACACCTCCCATTGTGTATTGTGCCCCACAGCTGAAACTGTTTACCAATCTAGACACTGACACACTAACAGCTGCTGATCATTAACATTAGCTTTGTTTCCATCCAAAGATCACGCCTTATCGTAACAATGAAGGTCACGCCTTATCGTAACAATAAGTAATGCTTGAAACGATATTTTAGGTTTCGAGTTGCTACTGTTGGGTTTTTATCAATGTTGGGATTCGTTTTTAGGAAAGTGTTTTATGTATTATCAATTTAGTTAAATTAGTCCATATGCAATCATAATTTACAATGTTTATTTATTTACCTGTTGCTCTTGTAGGTTCTGTTTAGCAATATATTTGGTAACATAGGCCATTATCAGCATTTTTAAAGGTTACTAACAGTCCAGTTACTTGCAGCAGTTTACTTTTTTGAATTTTGACTGTAGTTTGGTTTAATGAAGTTTAATTTCATCTTAGTGTCATTAATGCCTTTGCTAAATGTTTTACTAAAATAAACAAGTGTTTTGGTTAAGTCTTAGATGTAATTTCAAATTAATTAAAGCAAATTAAAATTGAAATTAAAGTGTCCCCTCAACTCTGTCACTGTATTCTCAACCCTGTGAAAATAATATTTTTTGGAAAATAAAATAAGGAAAACAATTAAATATAGAAAAAATCTTTCTCAGTACCAACTGCCATGTTAAGGCCTAACATTATAAATATGTGGTTTGAATAAGACAAAATAATAAGAATAGAAAAATTAAGAGACCACAGAATGCATACATTTTTATAATCGTAACTTAAATCACATTTAAATCTAAAACTTATCAAAAATCTTATATTTGAGCCATTAAACTGTTTTGAGAAACATATGAGCAATAGGTAAATGTTGGTTTTATAGCAAAAGCTTTTTAAAATACTAATATTAATAACTCATAGTTATGTCTGTTACGTGGTTGAGAATAATGGGTCTCTCAAATAAGAATAAAACAGAAAGGCTTTAATGGCTGATGTAGGAAAATATAAATTTTTTTGACAATTTAAGTTGTGCCTAATTATGTAGGCTATTTAAATATATAATCAATACACTTTTAAAAGTAAGTTTGCTCAAGCTGAAATAATGCCAAATGCAAGCTGAAATATTACCAAATGCAAATTCTGACCCTACCATCCGGGTGACAAGAAATTAAGACTCATCAGACCAGGCAACGTTTTTTTCCATCTTCTATTGTCCAATTTTGATGAGCCTTTCTATCAGCTCGAACCAGTCTTGCCATTCCCCTCTGACCTCTGACATCAACAAGGCATTTGTGCCCACAGAACTGCCGCTCACTGGATATTTTCTCTTTTTCTGACCATTCTCTGTAAACTCTAGAGATGGTTGTGCATGAAAATCCTAGTAGATCAACAGACTCAGACCAGCCCGTCTGGCACCATCAACCATGCCACGTTCAAAGTCACTTAAATCACCTTTCTTCTCGATTCTGATGCTCGGTTTAAACTGCAGCCGATCGTCTTGACCATGTCTACGTGCCTAAATGCATTCGAGTTGCTGCCATGTGATTGGCTGATTTGCGTTAACAAACAGTTGGACAGTTGTACCTAATAAAGTGGCCGGTGAGTGTATACCCTATTTTACAATGATGGCAACACTGGCTACACAGCATCATTACTCCTGTCTTTAGTGTCATGTTTCTTCAGAAATTAATCTGATATACTGATGCAGTAAATAAATATGCATACAAGTAGATTGAAAGATTAAGGTATAATTATTTTCTCAATAAATACTTTGCGATATATATAAACTAATTTAAGTTATTTTGTTGTTTATTTTTGTGCATCCTTCTTAAACAAAAGTAGTAATAGACTGGCAGACAACCAAAATAGACATAAAAATAGGATATACTTGACCATAAATGTACTTACAGTCATGAGAGAGCAAGGTGTCACACGTAAACTTAAAAAACAAACAAACAAAATATATATATTTGCAGTGATTTAAAAGGAAAATAAACATCCAGGTTGTAGGGGAGTATCATAGGTAACAGGAAGTGATGTTCAGAGACCAGCAGTGTGTGCGATACAGGGCAGATTGAGTCAGATTTAGAGACTAGACGACAGAGTCTCTCTCAGCGCACAGCAGCACATTATCATGACACACTCCATTACCAAATACAACACTCACAGACATGAGATCTGCTCCATTTAAGATCCTAAACAAGCTAGATGCACTTCCTCTCTTTCTCTCTGTTGCCAGAACACACGCACATGCTTGCTTTCGCTTTATCCATAGGGGACGTATCTGGAAAACAGGATTCGTCTTGCTATTTTGAAGCACAAGA